CTTCGCTCCGCTGGCAACTCCGTTCGGCAGGGGCCGGGCCTGCTTGGCCTGCCGGCGGCGATGGTCGGGCCTGGGGCCATTTATGTCACGCCATTTGCTGAAGAACATGATCGAATGATGTAGCGGGCGTTCGGCTCGCTTAAACCCGTCGTCTTTGAGTTTGCCCCTAAGACTCGAGAAAGGGATGTAACGGTGATGCGGCCCGACCAGATTTTTTAGCTTTAGCTTTAGAAAGGATTTATGACTGCTTGTTCATGGGCCCGACCATTTATGTCACGCCATTTGCTGAAGAACATGATGGAATGATGTAGCGGGCGTTCGGCTCGCTTAAACCTGTCGTCTTTGAGTTTGCCCCTAAGACTCGAGAAAGGGATGTAACGGTGAAGCACCGCGACTACAACCCACCCTTCTGCTTAGAAAACGTTTTTTGCGGGTGGGGGAGAGTTCCGTTTCTATTTTGCGGTTTAAAGGCCTTTTTCTACAACTTATTGTTCACAAATCTTCGACCATAGGGCTCTACTTTGACGAGTTACCCCTAAGGAGAACATAGAAAAAATACTTTTTGGGAGAATTTTTTGAACCTTGGATCCTTGGATACCCCCATTCACACCCTTATGGGTGGTTGCCAGGTAGGCATAGGCGTTTCGTTCTCTAGGAGTGGACCTTAAGATACCCTGAAAATTTCAAGTCTCTAGCACATCTCCCTCTAGTGGAACAGACAGACACACACGAGGTCGTTTGCATAAGCCCGCTGGATAGCTTTTTCAAAGCAGAAGGGCGGGCTAAAAACGTGATTGTAGTAGAAGGGTTCAAAAAGGGGTTACCCCCTTCAAATAATTGAAGAGCGTGCGCTCTGAGGATCATTTACCAGGGTTTACAGTGAAGGAACTCTTCACTTCCTCCCACGCAGCCGCGTCCCCGCTCTGCGCCGCTTCCTCGAGGAGTGAGCGCCTTTCCTGCAAATCGGTCACCTCCTTGTCCAGGAGGAAGCGGATGTCGACGAGCTCCTCTTCAAAGCTGCGCGAGGTGAGTTCAATCAAGGAGCGCATCTTCGCCAGTGCGTCTTCATTCTAGGAAAAATAACATGAACAAACAGAAACAACTATCACATACAGAGTTGTGCACTTAAAAATCGGTAAGGAAAACGCTTTGGGACAAATGTGTGTCATTAAAAGGGACAATTTGAAGTTTTCTGAAGTTTTTGTCCTACAGACCACACGAGTTTGTTTCTAACAAGCAGGCCCGCCCTTCCGCCAAACGGAGTTGCCAGCTCCACTTCGCTGCGCCGGCAACTCCGTTCGGCAGGGGCCGGGCCTGCTTGGCCTGCCGGCGGCGATGGTCGGGCCTTCGGCCCGACCATTTCAGTCTCGCTATTTACTGAAGTGCATAATCAAATACATAATGTGACCGGTAAATTACTTTGCATATTTGAGTAAACTAAAGCGTTCGGCTGGGGGCCTGCGGCCCTAGAGATTTGCTCCTTGGAAATGACATAAGACTGTAACGGGGCAACACCGTGACTACACCCCACCCTTCTGCTTTGCTTA